ATAAGGAGACTTAGAATGTAACAATGGAGTTGGTAATCGGTTAATAATATAGACAGCAGTCAAAACACATTCACCCCAAAAGGTGATTGGCAAGTGAGCTTGAAAACGTAAAGCTCGTGCAACATTTAAAATATGACGATGTTTGCGTTCAACTACCCCGTTTTGTTGTGGAGTGAAAACACAAGTTGGTATTCAATTCCATGAGAGTGAAAAAATATTTTCATTGGTTCAAATTCTTTTCCATTGTCTGTCCTAATTTTCTTAACTGAGGCATGAAATTGGTTTTTAGTAAATGATATAAAGGATTACAAAATATGAGAAGTTTCAGACTTGTATTTCATAAGAAATAACCAAGTACATCTTGTAAAATCATCTACGATAGTAAGAAAGAAACGAGCCCCTGAATCAGTAGGTACTCGATGTGGACCCCAAACATCGCAATGTAATAAGTCAAATGGAGAACGAGTAGATATGTTACTCAACGAAAATGCAAGACGTGTCTGTTTAGCCAAAGGACAAACATCACAATTATTATCAAAGGAAACACTACGAGAAGGTAATAATGGAGCAATTAATCTAAGGCGAGAAGGTGATGGGTGTCCTAGACGCATGTGCCATAAATCTTTTGGTTGTGAAACTTGATGAGAAATGGGTGGTTTCTGTATTGATGACATGTAATAGAGACCAGCTTGATGTTTACCCGAGCCAATCATCTTCCCCGTAGCCAAGTCCTGTAATACAAAAAAAGTGGGAAACATAAGGGCACAACAATTTAAGTCATTAGTGAGTTTGCTAACAGACATTAAATTTAATCGAAAAGAGGGAACATGTAAAACATTGTTTAAGGTGATATCTGAGTTAAAAGGTATTATTCCAGTGGAATGAATTGATACAGATGACCCATTGGGTAAATTGACAATGGGTATAGATGGAGATTTTGTTTGAGTAAAGAAAGTGGAATCGGAAGTAATGTGATCAGTTGCTCTGCTGTTCAAGATCCATGGCCTAGTGAATGCAGAATTAATTGAAACATTATGAAAAAGAGACAGACCTGCTGCATTTGCATAGGCATCGCTATTACCGGTAGAATTATTATTTTGCGTGAACAAACTTACTGCCTGAGCAATCTGTTGGAATTGTTCTGCTGAAAATCCATGTGAACCATTGGAATCTTGTGAGTGAATCTCATTCTTAGATTGACGAGTGTCTATTACATTAGCAACATGAGAAGGATTACCCTGAGATCCACGTTGTTGTCGATTATTTTGGCTTCCTGAGTTGTTGGGAGACCAAGTGCCATTTTTAAACTTACATCTATCCTCTGTATGACCTTTTCTATTGCAATGCTTGCAATGAAATTTCAGAGTGCGGCAATTCTCAATTGTGTGTCCTTCTCGATTGCAATGCTCACAATGCCTATCCTTGGATTTGTTGAAAAAACTATTGGAACGCCTTTGAACTGCAGCCGCAATAGAGAAACTTTTTGTTGATTCCGACGTCATTTGTCTCTGTGTTTCTTCTTGAATAACAAGTGAATATGCTTGGCGTACATTAGGTAGGGGAGACATCATAAGAATATTGGATCGAACAACATTATAGATATCATTAAGACCCATTAGAAATTGCATTACACGGTCTTCTTCAATTTGATCGGTGTGTGCTTTAATTTGATTGCAAGTGGGAAATGTTCGAAATGTATCTAACTCATCCCAAAGACCTTTGAGTTTTGTGAAATAGGAAGAAATGTTCATGTTACCTTGTGAGAGTGAAGCCAATGATTTTTGAATCTGATATATTGCTGGTGCATTCTTTTGAGAAAATTGATCTTTAAGATCTTGCCATACTTGGTGAGCCGTCTTGGCATGGATGACTCATTTAGATAGATACGGTTCCACCGAGTGAGCAAGCCATGATAAAATCATACTATTGCATTGATTCCACAACGTATACTCTGTTGGCTTATCTATTTCTAATGGCGGTTCAATTGATCCATCAATAAACGATAGTTTGCTTTTGGCTGTGAGAGCATGTATCATTGATTTGCTCCAGGATGGATAATTGATCCCATTCAACTTGATTGGAACAAGCATGAGGCTGGGATGATCTGAATGTTGAAGAAAATATGGATTTGATGAATTCATATCGTTACTCTTATTGCTAGTGTTTGGACTTTTGGATTGATCAAGCTCTAATACCATCTTGGAAAAGAAGAGAGAACAATATATTTTGCTGAAGTAATTTTCTTTATTCACAATCCGATATATATACAGCTTGATACAAATCAATCTAGCCTAGCTTTAGGTAAGAAATCGTGATCCCCAATTAATGGGATTTGATCTACTAATATGGAAACTGAATATACAAGAATATATGTACAAGATATGTATTTCTCAACATAACTTGTATTTTCATCTCACTTTTGTATTCATATATTGTTGTATTCAACATATAGATCATGATCGATGAGTTACTTTAACTCAATGGGATACAAATTATTGTATGCATTCAAACAGAAAAAACAGCTACTAACTAAAAAAAAAAAACAATTTCATTCGTTATACATCATAATTTGGATACAAAACATCCGAAAAAAGCTATAAATCCCAATGCATACAAAGATTTCACTGATTCAATCAGAAAAAAAAGCACTCTTGTACTCAACATATACAAATATCTCATCCAAACAAATAAAAAAATTGAAACAAATACCTGATTGTTTTTCGATTGTTCACTAGATGCGACAAATTTATAGTTGTCAATTTTGAAAAATTATGTTTCAAAAATATGTCGTATTCAACTTGAAGAAGCTTTGAAAGTTATTAGATGAATGATTCGGAAGACAAACTAAATTATTTTAATTTTTTATTTTGATGTTCTTAAGAAGAAAGCAAAAAAACGCTCGACGGAAAGATGACTATTTATGCTCTTTTTAAATGTAACTGATTTGTATTTAAAATATTTTTTACTTTTTTTGAATTTTTTCGTTCCATGATTTTCTCTGTTTTGTTATTAATTATTTGTATTCTTTCAAATTAATCAAAATAAAATAAATACATAACTAATCTCTAAACAAACTAAAATAATGACATTTTTAATAAATAATAAAACTGTTGCTAAGGAGTCTCATTAAAAGCTAAAATATTGCTGTTTTGAAAATTTTCTCATAAAAAAATGCTGCCGAAATAGGTGGGATATGGCCCATTTTACTCAAAATCTGCTGCTAGAATTTTTTTGAGGCTTTTGGCCCCATTTTTCTTGTTGTATACAAGGTATACAATCGTTGTATATTATTGATATCCTTGTAAATCAGCACCTGAAACCTGCGTATCTGATGCATACAACACGTATACAGTCTATTTTTGAACTCCCAAACACCTATATTTCAGTTTCCATCCATGTACATCTGTCCCATTGGCCTGCCTGACTCGATAAGAGGCAAAATTGAAAGGCCCAACGAAAAGATGCAAGGAGATGAGATAAGAGTCCATGATGAACTCGGGGCAGATTTCATGTATAACAAATAAATAACAAAATAATTAACAAATACAACGAAAAGATGCAAGGAGATGGTGCTAAATGTAACTCTGATCTGCATATTTTATCACCCAAACAAAAAGAGGACAAAATTTTCTCCCATGCTTAAACTGAGACATTTATTTTTAATTAAAATATTTTTCCTATCTTACATAACACGAGCTCAATACACCTATTTTACTAACTCCAAAAATTAATTGATCTCAATGTGCTCTCCATTATCATACAAGTAAAGCCCAAGAAGAAATACTCATGATATACAAAACTAATTAATGACCCTTAGTTGCGCACTTCCATAGGTAAAAGAAAGTTTGAAGAGTCAATAATGGCAAGATGACGAATGATATACATACAGTACAATGATATGATACTCACTTTAGTTGGCTTGGATACCACGCTGACACACTAGCAATGGTTGACTTGGGCACCATATCGATACACTAACAGATTGCGTGTGGGCTTCATGAGAGGACCAGGTAAGGGTTCATGGGTTCCATGAGAAGATCAAGCATTTGCATTTGTGATCTTTTGGGACACGTATCTAGGTATTTGATGTTTTATGATATGTGACTGGAAGTCTATATAAATTGGTGATTGTTGTTATATGTGTTGTTCTATGTTACTATATTGTGGTAAATTGCTTACAGTGATATCCTAGATTGTTCATTTGATCCTACCGGTATATTATGGTTTGCTTACTCTTACTACACCTGTTCTTTCCTTGTTGAGTACAAGGCATCTTTCAACCGCTGATTCGAGACTTCAGTTAAAAGATGTCTGACTTCAAATTCAAGTATGAACTATTCTTCCAGGCTGTGGATTCTTCTATTTTTCTTGTCCATCATTTGAGACTAAGACAATCTTAGACTATTGATTTATTGTTTTTAAGCTTCGAGGTTGCATCCCCTTTTATTTTAGACATTATAGTTTTGATACTACGATTTTCAGTTTTTAGGAGTTGTTTCCGTAAATGTTTTGATTATTGAGTTGAGTTTAGGGGGACTCAATTATTTAGTTGTTTCTAAATTGTTTTCTTAAGTTTTATGTGATGAAGTGCTTCAATAAAAAGAGTGTCTTGGGCTTATTGCGGGTTAGTTGTTGGTTCTTCTATCAAGTGGTTTAGTGTGAGTGACAATCATGACAGTTTGGATCGTGACACAATTTAAATTTAAGAATCAAAAATTAAATTTTGATATGAAATCATTATGTTTGTTGCGATATTTACATATTCGAAAACTACATTAAAATTATTATAAGCCACAATAATTGAACAATTCAAAATATTTAAAAGGTATAATTAAATTACGATAAAAAAAACTTGTATAACACTCCAAATTTGAAAGATATCACATAAATTGGAAAAGAAGAAAACAGTAAGTTTTTTATTTGGCTATTGCCTTGTTGTAAGTTACATAGAAACAAGAATTGAATTCCATTTCTATTTTAGTCGCAAGAACTTTGACTCTTCAATTTTTAGTTTCATTAGCTTGTGCAATCCGACCTGGAGGTGGTTTTCTTTGCCCACATTCACAGTAAAAACCATCGCAGTAATAGAGATCGATAAAGCCACAAAGAGATCTACAAATATTTGGATCTTTGTCGCAACAACAAACAGAAATATCTCTCGCTTCAGCCTTTCGTGAAATACCTATAAATAAAATTTCATAATTATAAAACGAACTTAGAAAAAATTGTGGAAAAGTGTATGATATTCAGGCACTAAAAAATTAAAGCAAGTAGAAGACTTACAGAGTCCTATAATCATAAAGATGAGGAGAAAAGACAATACTTTGAAAGTCATATCTTAACTTTTGGTGTAATGCTCAATAGGCCACTTGAACGTAATTTCTGTAGGTGTATGATAGTGATGTTTATTTTACTTTTTGTCCTACTTATAGCATATTTAGTCAACAATTCAAGAAAATACTAATATTTTAAGAATCTTGTAACGGATTTCTCTCCCTTTTTGGGGCAATTACATTTAAGTTAACATGACAATATTTGACTGAAAACGTAACGTACATGTCTTATACACATAACGCGCTTGAAATTTGATTTGACTGGACATCTTATTGCATTTTGACATGTGGAATAATTTTATTGACTTTCTCATTTAACTTGATATGTCATTTCATTTGACATGTGGCACCAAAATAAACCTCTAGAATAAAATAGCAGGTCTCTTATACAAAAATATACATCTAAATAAAAAACATCTAAATGGCTACATGTATATGTGATGTATTTATATTGAATAAATAGTGTATAATCTTATATAGATAATATATAATATGCAACTTGCCAACAATATATATTGTTTTACAATATTTATATCATTCTATGTATCAATATTAAACAAAATTAAAAATAAAAAAAAATCGAGGGACGATCTTTTGCCTTAATTTCTTGGACCGGGACAATTTCTTAGTTTTTCTTGGTCGATTTTCACACTCTTTTTAGTATTGTTAATTTTGACGAGTTTTATGATATTTTTTATTTCTATTATTGCGATATTTATATTTGTGTTTGCAACTTGATGCACCCTATTTCAAATTGGTCAAAATAATTAGAGTCTTCATATAATATCGGGGAAATTACATGCTTAAGCAAACATTTCACGCAGGATTGGGAGTAAGTCGACCGATGGCTAAGAGGAATCTCTCCTTTAAAGCAGTCCCAGTCCGGCCCTACTTACTCTATAGGTAAGGCTTTCATGAATAGCATGCTCGCACACGTATACCCTCACAAACCAACTCGCTCGCTTCGACCCTCGCCCCGATCCATAGCCCTTGGAGCAAAACTCCCTTGTAGAAGGACTCCCACTTCAATTTCACCTCCCTAACCCCTATCTTAAAGGGAGTTAATTAGTCATTAAAGCTATAGTTTTAATTAATTACCACTCGCGAACAATATTCAGTGATAATTACGTGGACTGGAGTTTTGAGTTTGTATAATTCACACGTTTGTATAATTCGAAATTCTTATAATATAATTTGTATAACTTTTGTATAACGTAATTTTGTATAGTATAATTTGTATAGTTGTTTAAAGTTGATGTTTGTGTTTGTATAAATTAGTTATTTCGAGTTTATACAAAAATATCTCAATTATACAAACATACCCGCGATTTATACAAATCACCCGCTAATTATACAAACCCGCGAATTACTCAAACGAGGCAACTTAAATTGTAGCTGTCACACCCCTTTTTCGCGCACGGCGGCGGGAGGGTTTTTCCAATTTAAGTGACAATATTGATTTACGGATTATATTTTACTGTTTCAGAGTCGCCACTTGGAATTGAGTTATGGTGTTCCAAGTCACCTTTTCGAATCCCTAATCAATAGGAAATGACTCTTTTAGTTTTGGTCTACGAACTAGAAATTAGGGTAAGGAATTCTGTTGACCGAGGGGAAGGTATTAGGCATCCCTCGAGTCCCGTGGTTCTAGCACGGTCGCTTTTATTGACTCATACTTATTTTAATATGTTTTTGGATAATTTGTGTCTACGGCCCTGGTTCACTTATTTTTTTTAATTGTTAAATTTTATTAGTCTTAAACCGGATGCATAACTGCATTCTCGATCTTGACATTTTAGAGACATAACTGTCTTCTTTGCATCACACTTAATAACCTTATTTTTATAAGTCACTACCTTAAATTAATAAAACTAATTATATTAGTGGACAAGGTGCGTCACCGCATCATTGAGTTTATTTTAATATCTCAAAAAAAAGATGTGTAACCACATTCTTAATTGGAACAAATATTTTTTAATTTATTTAAGTGTTTGATCTAACATTAAAAGAAAATATGTATTCCTAAAAAAAAAAAAAAAAGTAAAATACTAAACTTCTAGAATAAATTTTTTTGATTATTTTACATATGTTTTTTTTTTATTATTATTATTTTTTTCTTAAAGTTGATGTCAAAATTAAGTGTACACTTTCTAATCAAAGAAAACAATATCGAATTGCAAAAAATAAATTTCATTTTTTTGTTTGATAAAATAAAACAACAATAATTTATTTATATTTATTTTTTAGCCTAACTATACCTACTTTATCATTATTATCTAAATCAAGACAAGAACAATGTTATGACATGTTCATTTTTAAGAGATCACAACTAACAAATAAAAATAAATAAATAAATAAAAATCATCAATTAAAGCTACCTTCATTCATGAAATAGAGATATAACAACTAACAAATGAATCATTTCTATCAAATTCATGAATGAAACAAAATATAATAAAATTTGTCATAAAATTACATCAAATTCCATGAATAAATTAAATAAATAAGGCAAAGTTGAACCTTAAATAAAGAGAATAAGTACCGCAAAATCTTGATTGAACCTCGATTAGAATACCCACGAACCTTTTTATAGATTATATGTAGTGGTATATGTGTTGTATTTATATGAAAGAAATGAGAAAGAAAACAAAGATCTGGATGAATTGATGTATTTTAAAAAGAAAATAAAAGAGATGTGAAGGTCTTTTTTTTTGTTTGCTCGTGTGTTTTTGTTTTTGGGATGAAAAATGTTTTTTTTTCTTTTCCTTCCGTTTTTCTGTCTCTGTCCGTCTTTTCTTTTTCTTTTTTCTTTTGTGTTGCTGTGTTGTTTCTATATATTGGAGTGTGGGTGTGTGTAGTGTCGTGTGTGTATAGGGGTGCTGTGGGGTAGTGGGGTTGAGTGGGAGGAGTAGTGGGTAAATGTGTAGGTGAGTTGGGGTAGTGGGGTAGTGTAGGTTATTTTTTTTTAGATTAAATATATATATAATAATAATAAAAATACTAATTAATTATTTTGAACTAATAAAATATTAGAAAAGTCAAATAGCAAGTTAAGAAATATAATTAAGAAATACTAGCTTATTTATTAAAATAAAAAGAAAACATATATTTTTTTGTAGTTTTTCAATCTTTTAAAATAAACTTACTAAAATACGATGAAAAAAATAAAATATTTAATTTATATATAAAAGCAATATTTATGTACTAAAAATGGTGTAATACCTTAAATTCGGTCAAAAATTACGTGTCTACAGTAGCTACAACCCTTAAATATGTAAATTATATCTATGAAGCATAATTAAGTTTATTATAGTGGTTATTTGCAAAAATTCCCTTTCAATATTTAGAATGGATAGAGAAGACTATATGTTGTTTGTTTGGTGAGGCCAATTCCTGTTAACCTAGTGGGTTGACTGGGATTTGGTGCTCTTTATTTGTACAGAATTGTTTAGATGTTGGTATGGTAACATTCACATGAGTTTACCAACAAAAAAAGAAAGGCTAAAATTTCAATTATGTGTGTCTTAATGCATAAACAAAAAAGACGTACATTTTCTCGTTGGAAAGCTATCTAATATTGGGTAGTATGCAAGAGAAAACATAAGGTAAATATTTACTTAAAAGAAGTAATCAAAATAAGATATCCAGTGAATTTTCTTACTCAAAATTTGAGTTTTAAGTTTGACTAGGTAGACACAATTAGACCTTTATTTGTTTAAGACAGAATGCTTCATTGGGCCTGTCATCCATTCATATGTTGTCAATTGCACTTTTTTTCAAAAGTAGGCAACATCTACCTGCACATACATTACATTTCTATATAGAGGAGATGGTGCTAAATGTAACTCTGATTTGCACATATTATCACCCAAACAAAAAGAGGAAAAAATTTTCTGCCATGGTTAAGTTGAGACATTTATTTTTAGTTAAAATATTTCTCCTATCTTACATAACACGAGCTCAATAAACCTATTTTACTGACTCCAAGAATTAATTGATCTCAATGTGCTCTCCATTATCATACAAGTAAAGCCCAAGAAGAAATACTCATGATATACAGAACTAATTAATGACCCTTAGTTGTGTTGGGTTCTGAAGGGTTATTAGGACGTTATGCGGAAGCTTACAATTTGCAAATCATATAGTTGATAAATCAGATAACAAAAACTTATACTAAAAATCAAAATATTATTATATCAAAACTAATATAAAGAAAAACATGGAAACTTTAGAGAGAATAAATCTCCCCATAAACAAGACTCTTAAACGACTACATTGTGGATGTTATTGTTATGTGTTAGAAGAAACAAACCTATATTTATAGAGTTCTAAAATCTTTCCTACTAGAAAAGGAGTCATAAAAGGAGAGAATAAACCAAATATAAAATAATATTATATTTTCCTTTCAAGAAAAGTAAAAACATTTATGGTAATGTTTTTTTTTTTTCTTTAAGGAAAAATAAATCTTAAATTATGGTAAGAAAAGCAGGGCAAAACCCTAACAAATCTCCCCTTTTGGCTGGATTTTCTTGACAAAGCTTGATCTGTCTTCTTCATTGCATGATAATCTTGTTCTTCACAAAATCTCCATCACTGTTGCTTGACATGGTTAAAAATAAAGTTTAAAATATATGGGTTAAAAATATTTTATTTTTATTCTTAAAAATTGCAGCAACAGGAATGTTAAAAATATGTTGAAACTTCTTCTCCACATGTAGCTTGACAAAAAGATCTTCATTATCATCAAATTGATTACAAATTGATTTGAAACCATCTTGAGCCGGTCTTCAACCTCGTTGAACCATAGGACCATCGGACCATGGGATCGTTAGACCATGTGTTCTGGTAC